TTATATTTATATTTATATTTATATTTATATTTATATTTATTCATATTTATTTATAAGTATATTTATATTTATATTTATATTTATGCTACAAAGTTCGGGTGTATGTACACCCGGCGAAGGCTGCGTGCATTTACAAAGTGGAAATTAAATAAAAAGTAAAAAGACAAAAAAGAAAATCTCAAATGAAGTTTATTCGAAGACAATTAAAGTTCAAAGAAATCCAGAAAATATAAATCCTTCAAGACAAAGGCAGTGAAAGGAGCAGCAGCTCTGCAGCGCAGCAGCAGCAGCAGCAGCAGCAGCAGCAGCAGCAGCAGCACGTAGGGGGAGCCCCTGTGGCTTAAAAGGCCCTTTGTGTCTCTTTGCTGCTGCAGCAAAAGCAGCAGCAGGAAGGAAGCGCTGCAGAGGGCTGCCACTTGCTGCTGCAGTGCAGCTGCAGCAGCAGATGCGCGCGCAGCAGCAGCAACAGCTGCAGCTGCAGCAGAAGGTGCAGCAGCTGCAGCTGCAGCTGCAACAGAAGCAGCAGCAGCAGCAGCAGCAGCAGCAGCAGCAGCAGCAGCAACTGCATCACTGTGCTTATTTTGCGTCTCCTTTTTTGCGTCTGGAAAACCCGATTTGTCTCCAAGTGCTTCTCCTGCTTTGCGCTGCTGCTGCAGCAGGAGCAGCAGCAGCAGCAGCAGCAGGAGCAGCAGCAGCAGGGTAAATGCTGGAGTTGGTTCTGGCCAGAGAACTTCTTCTTGAAAAAGTTTCTTTTTCTTTTTGCTTCCTTTTTTCTTCTTTCGTGCTGCTGCTTCTCCTCGGCAGCAGCTCCCCGTGCTGCTCAGCTATGGGGTCAAACTTTGCTGCTGCTGCTGCTGCTGCTGCTGCTGCAGCAGCAGAAGGGCTTCCTTGCAGCGCCTGCAGCAAACTCTCGCTGCGCCGTGGGGCCCACTGCTTTTTGGCTTCTCCCACGGACGCAGAACTAGTCTGCTGCTGCAGGTTCGGCTGCTGCTGCTGCTGCTGCTGCTGCTGCTGCTGCTGCAGGTCCAGCTGCTGCTGCTGCTGCTGCGGCTGCCATGACAGAGAGTTCTGCTGCTGCTGCAGCTGAAGCTGTAGTTGCTGCTGCTGCTGCTGCTGCAGGAGCTGCTGCTGCTGAATTAATTGTTGTTGCTGCAGCAGCTGCTGCTGCTGCAGCTGGTGCTGCTGCAGCTGCTGCTGCTGCAGTCTCTGTTGCTGCAGCTGCTGCTGCTGCAGCTGCTGTTGTTGCAGTTGCTGCTGCTGCTGCTGCTGGGTCTGCGCTAACGTGCTGGCCAGTTGTCCTGCTGCTGCCGACGAAAGGTAAGAAGGCTGCTGCTGCTGCGCAGGCTGCTGCTGGAACACAGGCTGCTGCTGCTGCTGCTGCTGCTGCTGCTGCATAGGCTGCTGCTGTATCCCCATTCGCTGCTGCAGATAAAGCTGTGCTGCTTCTTTTAGCTGCTCATTCGTGAGGAGGCTAATTGGCTGCTCCTGCAAGAGAGCCTCGACCTGCTTCCGCTGCTGCGGCTCCAGCTGCTGCTGCTGCTGCTGCTGCTGCTGCTGCTGCTGCTGCTCTATTTGAAATAGCGCAGGCCCTGAGTGGCCCGCGAGGCCCCTCAAGTGCTGCAGCAAAATGTGGTATTGCTCTTCAGTCATGGGGGTGTTTCTCTTGGGGACGCAGTGGGTAGCAGCAGCAGCAGCAGCAGCAGCAGCAGCAGCAGCAGCAGCAGCGCATGCAGAGCTGCCTTCCTGCGCGCAGGGCTGGTGCTGCTGCTGGTAGGCGCCCAGGAATTCGTGGCAGAGGCCCTGGGCGCGCTGCTGCTGCAGCTGCTGCTGCTGCAGCTGCTGCTGCTGCAGCAGCAGCGCGTGCGGCAGCAGCAAATCCCAACTGCTGCGGGGGCCCCCGGGGCCCTCAGGAAGCCCCACTTCTTTTGCATGCAGCCCCGAAAGCTGCTCAAGAAGAGGTTTAGGAGATCCTTTTCTTTTTTTTCTTTTATTGGACTTTTGCTGCTGAATTCCGAATTGGTTTTGGACATTTGCTGCTGCTGGGGGCCCCTGGGGGGCCCCCCGGGGGGCCCCCCAGCAGGGGGGGCCCCCCCCCCCCCCGGGGCCCCCCCGG